TATATTAGTATTATAAATATATAAAATAAATTTAAATCAATAATAAATTTAACTTACTTTTTTTATCAAACAATGCAATTACTGTATTATAAATTGTTTGTGCGTTAGCACTTTCTAATTGTAATAGTTTTAAATATCGAATCTTTATCACCCCATGTAAATAATATTTAACATATAATATTACATGTGATTCAGTTGCAATATAGGTACTTTCGTCTAACATTATTCCAAAAGCTGAACAAGCTTCTAAATCTTGCCAAATTTTGTTTTTGATCGTTTGAGCAAGAGCATCTAACATTTCAAGACTAGTAGTATGATTATTATATATTGAACCATTATCATTACTAGCTTTAATATGTGGCACTCTAATAAATCGTGAAAAATTGATAAAACTTTTAAGTTTATTTAAAGGAAGATTTTCAGATGCTAACCAAAAAATCAATTTTATTACTTGAATAATATGTTGATGAGCTTTATTAATAGCATTATTTGTAACAGTTTTCATTGCCCTTTTTTGATTTTCTAATTGAAAAGCTTTTTCATGTTGCTTAGTATCAGCATGTTCGGATAGTGCACTAATTTTAAAATTTTTTGATCCTGTACATTAAATAAAATAATTAGATAAATAATTTAATAAATTGTAGGGAAATATATATGCAATTGGAGTTAAAAATACCTTTAATTGCTTTAGCAAATTCATTTTTTGACCATGAGCCATACATAATGTACAGAACATTCTATTTTTGTTTACATCATAAAATACCCAAGGATATTGATCCTTCCAAGAAGAATGATATGTATTGTATATTTTTCTTTGAAACCTAACCTTTTTTTTAGAATTACGAATATGATGAGATAAAATAGGAGCTTTGGCTTTTCATTTGTTATTCTTAGATGAAGAAACTACATATTTTTCAACCCCTTCATTACTGGAATTATTTGTTTCGGTTGAACTATGTTCTAAATTATTGTCTGAAATATCACTAAAAAATTTAAAATAAAGTTAAATTAATTGGAATAAAAGTAAATTTAGTTATACACTTTAAATTTAAGCTATATATTTACTATTCAACTTCAGAACTTTCATCTTGGTCGAAAGAAACCAACTGTACTTCATCTTAAAAAAATTTAATAAAGATATTATGTACGAAGAAAGTTACTGATTATCAAGTTGTACAGATTTCGAATATGTAACGTATGATCTGGCCTATAAAAAAAATCTCAGCCAATAAAATCCAGATAAATTTAAATTTTCCAGTTTTGGATAAATATCCGGTTCTATAGCAAAAATTCCAGATTTTGAAATAAAAATCTGGTAAATCCGGAATTTTTATATATTAGTTTGAACACTGGTCCTAGTATTGATTGAATCATTTTACCTGGATTTGATTCATATTGAAGGCAACGTTAATCAATAAAGTGTTTGATTCTTTGGTATGAAATATTAGTCTCTTCAATTATAAAGAGCACTTTTAAGTTATGATATAATTTCAATAATATTTTTCTAACTTTTTTAACATTAGTGTTAGTAATTATATTTGGTAGAGAGATTAGTGATAGTTTTGCAAAAGATATAACTTTTTTAATAACTTCTAAATCAGCAATCCATTCATCTTCTAAAGGCCAAGTTCTTGAATTCACCCTAGCAGCTCTAAACTTTATTACTATTTTATTAATTAATTTCATGTAATCATAATAAGTTACTAATTCTTTTAGTTTAGGAGCTTTTTGATCTGCAAAGACCCATTTATAGGGAATGGATTTAGTGGTAGCAGTTAAAATGGCATTTCTAAGATGTTTCTATATGTGATTCATATTATGTTGAGATTTAGGTAGTAGAAGCAGTTTATTCATGTTGTGTTATTTAAATTGTATATCTGTAGCTTCTGCAAAAAGTTTCCATTGTTATGTAGTCATTGTGATGAAATTGAATTTTTTCTTCTTTATTTTATTACGTCTGTTTGGGCCTCTTGTCTTTTAATGGGATTAGTAAAATATGATATGACAATCTTGTGATCTGATTGATAAATGAGAGGCTTTAAAACATCACAGTAAAGAAGGTCAGCAAAGAAACCTGGTGAACAGAAAATACTATCTAGTCTTTTAGGTATATAATTCTTAATTGTACTGCATGGTAAAAAGAAAGTTAAAAGGATATCATTATTATATAGTAACTGTAAATCTGTATAATTTCTATATGAGAATCCTTCTACTAAGTCAAATCACCATCTAAGATTTTTATTGAGTTTTAAGCATTCATGGTAATCTTCTATGTTGATATTAAAATCTCCCATTATAATTGTATGATATTGCTATTTATTACAATCATCTAACAGATTAAGAATTTATTTTTGTAGGAGTCTATGATTATGTCTACATTTAGGATTTACCACATTAGCATGAATATAGCAGCTAATTATTCTAAGTTTAACGTGACCTTTTAAATATAAATTCACATAAAGTAAACGTGAATCTGATGTAAATGAAGAAGTAATGTATTTATCTCATTTTTTTGAAACTAGTAGGGCAACACCTACAAAAGGTTGTAGTAGATTAGGTTGGCTTTAAAAAGTTGTATAATGTTGATCCTGTTTATTTTTGTAAAGCATTGACAAATTATGATGAGTTTCTATAAGACTGATAAAATCTATATTACTGTGCATGAAGTGTTCCATTATTTGTGAAGATTTAATAGGATCTGTAGTATTATTGATTCCTCATATATTGTGTATAGCGAATGTGATTATGTCTTCTTTAATTATGTTATTACATATATCGTCATCTAGGTGTATAATATCTTTATTGATTTTATGAATATTGTTTTGTCTATTATCATAAAATTGAAAAACTTGATTATTTAAGAAAGAAGTAATATTTGTATTAATATCAAAAATATTTTAGTTATCAGTAGGAATATTCTTTAGCTGTAATTCGTCTGATATAAAGTATGTTATAATTAATGAACTGAAGGCCCATCATGATTGGTAAAGGTAAGGATTTGAGAATCAAATCTTGTCAAATGAGATTTAATTGAGTCTAATTCCTGAAGTTTAGATAAAATTAAATCTAAGGGATTGGAATTACTATTGGTAGGAGTTTCAATATTAAATGTAGTAGGAAGTGTATATTCAACACCTTTGCCTTTCCCTTTATTTAAGTTAATGTTGGATGAGAAGCGTCTGTTTCTTTGATAATTGTTGGCAGAAGACCTAGAAGAGATGTTATCTGATGATATGGCTAATTTAGCTTGAGTATAAGAACGATTGAGAACTCTAGGTCTTTTATTTAATTTGTATTCATTGTGTATGATCCTTTATGAATAGGCAGAGTTCATATCTTCTTTAGATGCAAAGGTAGCATAGGTGATATTATTATGAAAATAATATGATCTAGCATTAAAAGCTTTTAAGATATGAAAAATATCAGAGGATATTGTTTTGTTTATAAATTCTTTGAAACTGACTATATAACAATTTCTGTCTTTTAGTTATTCTAGTAAAGTATCAATATGTGCACATCTAATAACTTATCTGTTTATGTTATGTGCTTAAACTGTATTCAACTGATGTAGCTTTCTAAGTTTATCGAACGTGATAATAACATCACGTGACGAGGAATATCTATTTTTATATTGATCCACAATGGATGTAATTGAACCAAAATAAAAAAGAGCTCTATTTATATGATTTTGTGTAATATTGTTAGGAACTGTTTTTAATTTGTAAGTATAATTGTTTTGATGAAGATTTAGAGAAGAGGCCTTATTAATTAAATTGAATGGAAGTTCTAGATGACTCAAGAAAACATTGTCTATAACATCTAATAATAATTTTCTATTGTTGAATTCTATGAATATATTTGCATTACCATTGTAAAATCTCCAGTCTATATTTATAAAACCAGGTTTATGAGAAAAAATGGAGGATAGGAAGTTCAATTTATCTATCTTGGTGTCGCCTGATATGGCAAAGCTAAGAGTGACATGAAAACATTTCCTTTTTTGTTAGGTTGAGTCACGTAAGATGAGTTTTTCAAAGTATGATGAAGATCATTTTTGTGTAATTTTTGATTGTGTTTGTTGTTATTGATTAGATTGTGTAAGAACGCGTCAATATTATTATTATTGTGATTATGATCTACAAACATGTTTAAAATATTATTATTTTTGTTTTATTGTATAACTGACACATAAGTTTGTTTATTAGTCCTTTTGTTATGATTGTTTGGCAACGGTTTGTTTTGATTTGTAGAAGAGAGTTGTTGTATGTTAGAAGACATTAACGACAAAGAGAAATTATTATACAGTAGCGGTCATAAGTATCTAACTGCCTGAGATCGTCCAAAATTATTATATAACTACCCCTTAAATTTTCCAGAAATATAATGTAACACAATACATGATCA